ATTGGCCATAGAAAACACGATACCAATCGAATTATAGTTTCCTCAGTTCTTCCCAAAGTGATCTAAAATGTTCGATTAGCAGGCTCCTGTAGGCCGTTCATCACAGAGTTACATTGACCAGCATTTTGATGCTCTCTCCTATACAAACTTCCAACTATATCTACTTCTTTATCACCAAAAGACAAAAGTCAGTTTCTTTGTTTCCCTGAGTCATTGCTGCCGTTTGTTTTGATGCACCTCTCGTTCTGAGGCCGTGCCTCCACTGGTAGTCAGCAACTGATCCCATCCCATAGGTGTATACATGCCACAATATCTTGTTTTTTTTAATCAGAGTTCTCTGGCAAAATAGGTTCTCATCAAGACCAGGATAAGGACTCATCCCAATTGAACTCTGAATGGGATGTTTACATGCACTAATGCAAAAACTGGATATTTAAAAACCTGATAAAAAGTGAGATACTCAAGTCCATGTAAACAAACTCTGTGAGGCTGTACTGTTTACAGAGAAGCATTGTGATCTAGCTGGCTGATTACTCTGTGTCCTTACAGTGGGCAAGAAGCCAACTGTGGCTACACAGTCAGTCAGGTCAAGTCCACAAAAGGGTTTTATGAAGGTGGTGGCATGAGTATTCATATGCTGTGTAAAAATGTTTAACTTGACAAAACACTAACTCTGAATTGAAATCAAAAATAACTTGGTTGGGACTGCTTACATTGAGTTTTATGACTGTACACCAACCATTCAGGATGAGGCCACAGTTACTCCACTGAAACGCTGCAGGTGTAAGGCCAGCTTTGTTCTGAAGGTTTCATCTGAAGGCAGGTACTCAACAGTTACTCCTAATGTTAGTCCTCTGTCAGACACTTTCAGACACATTGGTATTCAGTTGCCTCAGAAGGTTTTGGAAAGATTCAAACCCCTTAGAAAACGCAAAAGTCAGTTTTTCTTTTAGCCCATTTCTGCTTGTATTTAAGCTGATTTTGCATGAAAGTCTCCTCCTGTACGGCAGCATTGTTTCAGCATTGGCGGCAGGCTTATGGGGAGGGGGGCAGACTCTCCACAGATAAGCGCATCAGCCATTACCGGGTTCCTCCTTCAGACCTGTTAGGTCTTGCAAGGACTTCAAACACCAATTTGTTCTGCAAATAGCCCATTCAATTTGTGGCTGCCAAAGAGAGACACCTCTCTCCCTCTCTGCAGTAATTGAATCTTCAAAGGGACATTTTCCTCCATTTCTGTCAGGTATTAGAGTGATGAATAGCAAACGGTCATTTGAACAGAGAGAGAGGATACATGTTTATCCATTTTCAGTTAGACGCTCATCATGCGCCTTGATGATTGCTGGGCTGGAAATTGAGTGGCAGCGCCGCAGGATCTTCAACGGCGGATTTTCAATGGTGAGACTGACAAGTCATGCACTAAATATCAGGCCTCTGCATGAGAGATACATTCTTTAGCACTTGGGCAGAAAAGATCTTGGATTAATTATGCAATTCAGACCTGCAGTGGGTCTTGGAATTCAGAGACATGGAAGTCAACACTGCATCTTCAAATGTTCAAGTGTATTTAACAAAACTCTCAAAGCAAAGTTACATAGAGCTGCACATCCTTGTGTTTACACTGGGTTTTACACTTGTTGGAAAATCAAACAAAAACCATGTCTTAAGTTTTTGTTGGTAAACTCTACTTTTACATTTGCCTTGAAGATTAAACCTGTTTGTAACCTTATGTATACTTGTACCATCAATAAAAGCTCTGTTTTCTTATTTGTGATCCCTACTTTGCCTAAATTCTCTGAGGTAGTAATTTAACTGCCCACACGGCTACAAACAACACTAAACTTTTTGCAGATTTTCCAAGGGCTTCTATATAAATGTCCACAGAATCTCATATTTGGGATGAGGAGATTATAGAAGGTTGTAGAACTTCAAGTTTGAGCGTGTAATATCCAGCAGAAGAGACTTCGTAGAAATGGATTATGGTTTCACAAGTATGTCAAAGTTCGTGTACATGATTTTGTGACTGTTCACTCAGAATGAGACTTAAGTATTAATGTTAGGATTTGGTCCTATTCTGTGGAGGCTGCCATGTTTTGACAGTAGCAAACGTTGGGAAAACTAGTACTATAAATGGTTTTGTTTTTGTTGAGGTCCCAAGCTGCTCTGGTTGGGTAAAAACAGACGCTTCAATGGTAAAAACTTGACAAATGCAGAATGATAATTTCTATAAATCTCAGGAACTTCTTGTCCTGAAAGGCCACTGTAGCTTCACCAATGGTAGGGGTGAGAAAGGAACATTCAATCTAGAGTGTTACTGCCAGATGCTGCCAAATATTTCCATTCCTACACACTGCGCCTCTAATTGTGCTATGATCAACGCCCTCTAACTCACATTAAAATGGGCTGGATTTTGTTTTAGTTTGGTATCTATTCTGAGTGGGTGGTCTGTCTTCTCATATGAATACAGACCAATAGACACAGGCGAAGGAATCAGTAGTGTAACCAGTGCAGTGCACCAGGGTGTATGTGCTAATGCAAGGACTATAATAAGCGTCCACTTCTTACCCTTCATGTGATGCGTTGAAAGGAAAGCAGTGAGCTGATCGTGACATGGAAATATACTGTCAAAACAAACAGGATTCATTCCAGAGGAGCTTTGATAAGTTATCTATACCACCCTTCTCATTGATACATTACTCTGACAAGTGAATCAGTCTGTGGTTACTGTACTGTTTGTGCTTATTTAAGTGTTGTAAATCTAGATGGCTCGCTTGGAAATGCTTCTTAAGTAAGTCTAATGACCTCATGACTCCACGTCTTGTGATTACTTGTGAGCACTTGAGTTTTTCTGCCAACCTTGTATGGACTTTTAACTTTCAACAAGCTTACTTTTGGAAAAAAGAGGACATCCACACACTTGTTGTAATTTTACTTTCAAGCCTGCTCAAGTTTCTTGATACTCACAAAGTTTGAGCCCCAGTCAGAAAGTAGTCTTGTCTCAATGCCCACCATATGTTTTTAGGAGCGCTCAAGAGAAAGAACACACAACAGGATTAAGGTCCTTACACACAGGGGCCGACACGAATATAGTGGCGAAATCACGAAATATTCAGAGGTGAATTTTGATGCGCTTGACTATACACATCAAGCCCGGTGCATTTTGCGACTTTCTGGGGGGAAAAGACGCATCCCGGGGAAGACTTTTCCGGAGGAAAGTCCCGCCTCCTTCGCCTCTGATTGGTGAGAAAAGTTGGGAATGTCATCACACGCTCAAGCCAAACGTTCAGCACTTGTAGCCAATCAGAGGCGAAGGAGGGCGGGACCTTCCGTAGAAACATAGCACATGGGTGCATCCAATATAACAAATAAGAAGAGAACTTGGTGAGTTTCACTGCTTGGTTCAGGAGCTGAAACTGTATCACGCTGGACAATTTGAAGTTCTGCTGAAACAATTAGCTCCAAGTTTGAAGAGGCAGAGGACTAGACACTCGACTAGTGTTGAGAAGGCTTTCGGTCATGATAGCATGTACTGAGCCGGGGCCAGTACCAGGTAAGCACATGAATCTGATTGGTCAGAAGTGTACACACAGTATGCGAAACTCTCTCCCTCTTTAAACCCAGCTCAGTCTTAGCAGATGTCTGTCTAACATCAGTCTGGTTCTGCTCAAGGTTTCTGCCAATTAAAATAAGTTCTTCCTCTCTCCCATAACTTGATAAATGCTGTAAAGTGTTTCATTCGTGATAAAAGATGGGATAGGAGTGGGTCTGATCTTAGAAGATGGGGCTTAATCTGATCCCATCTTTACACTGGGTCTTTGTAGATAGGGTCTGGTCCAGACCAGCTTTTATTGTTAAGCATCTTGGGAAAACACTTATTGGAGCAAAATTAATAATCGATTGATTGACCTTCTTTAAGCCACTCTTGAAATTCCTTTTTGCTAAGATAACATGATTTTTGGGAAGTGTCGAGATCAGCTTTCCTAACTAATCATTACAAAATTCATTCACCCAAACTAATGAAGGTCTAACTTTGAGTACCAGGTCCAAACTTTAACAACAAAGTAAAGGAGGCTTTGAAATCTTCAATATTTTTATTAATTAAATACACCATACTGGAGCAAATGTCTCGGAAAATATCACAAATAAATTTCTCTTTCATTCAGCATTTATATGTTGGTGATGAACTCTACGTTACTATGAGCAAATTTTCTTCAGCCTGCCGAGGGTTCAGGTTTCAGGGGGGAGAAAGAAGGGAGGACTGGAGCTGAGAGTGGAGGGTCAGATGTACTGTAGCCACGCCTGGACAACGACATTTACATGCATACTGTACATACATGGTAGTTTTACAAATACACCAAGAGAGTGTTCATGATTTGTTTTCCACAAAAAGCCACAGATTTTTTTAAAACCCCATCTTTTTTATATATATACCACCAAAGAAAAAAAAAAACACATTCCCCTTTGACAACACTTAAAATATGTAAAGTGGAAACACCATGTTGTTGGGAAATGAGGATAGAAAAAGAAGCGAGGGAAAAAGAAAAGTTCCCGGGTTTCCCCCCCAAATGTCTTTTTAACAAATATGCAGAGTTGAAAAGCCTGCATCTCTTTAACCACGTTAGTCTCTTTCCATCACAACATCCTCTTGCATGTTATGTAATTTCTTTCTCTCTCTCTGAAGAGTTCCCTTGGATTCTGCTCGGTCCCCCTTTTTTTTATTCCAAGGTTATGAAGTCCCCACTGTTCAGATTCAGGTATGTTTAAGTGCAAGTATCCACCCATATTTAGGGAAAAGCAGAGGTTGAAGACTGTGCGTTGGGCATGGGATTGCAGAAATAAAAAGTCAGGATACTGGTAGGATGGGTGGAGGATTCCTTTAAGGTGAAAGGGCCTGGGAGCACAGCTAAAAGGCTGGGGTGCTGCTGATCCACGCTGTCTCAGATGACAATGAGTAAGGGCTAAAATGAAGGCACACATTCTGCTTCCTGCTCGGCTCCCGCCTAACACACCTGAATAATGAGAGATGAAAAATAAAACATTTTAAAATCTCTGGCCCTCATTAAGAGGATCAGTTCAGGAAAAAAAATGCCATAAATATTTCACCCTGATGAGTCAACTTTCCACCAGCTCGACTGTTTAATTTATTGATCAGCCAGGCTTTGAAAACCATCTGGTGTCCCATTTACTTTGCATTAACTTAAAAGTGCATCCATGAAGCGATCTCTCTTTGGTATAATTATAACTACGCTCACACATAACTGCAGGAGATGTTCAGTCCTGTGAAACAGAGAGATGATGTTTTTTTTTTTTCTTTCCTCCTTCTTTATGTTTCTAAGGGTTGATTTACTTTTCCCTTCATCCTTCAAATCACTAGGAGGGCTTCAGTCTATTAGTAATTGCAAACTCCTACTTGGGGGCTAATTAAAGTGACTGACGCTGGGAGGGTCTCACTCCCCTGGGTCAAAGCAGCTCCGTATGAGAGAGGTAATTTGTCTGTTCTGAACAAAGAGATTAGGAAGACGCTGGGAAGAAAGCTTAATAACAGAGCATCAGATGTCCTGCGAAACAAACGCGGACACCAATTATGTCACGGCAAAATCACACATAATCAAAACACTCTTGTGTAGATAACCCCGTGTTTCTGTATGAGCAGTGACTGCTTCATTTTCTCACTGCTAAACCAGCCCGTGTTGTGCTGTTGAGGATACATGAGGTTTATTGATTTGGAGAGCTGTTATCCTACTGTACGTCTGTGTTATTCAAGGCTGTCCACATTCTGTTAGAGCCGAAGAAATGTTTGTGTGATAAAGTGCTCCAGCAGCAGGATAATTCTCCTCATTTCACTCAGGGAGATAACAAAAGCATCCTGAGACTGTTCCCACTGAGCGATGTGTCTCTGTTTATTTAATAATTCTCTCTCTGCTATAATTAAAGCACCAGGGCCAATATTCAGATTGCATTTTAGCATCAATAATTCAGCAGTTTTCACTACAATTGATGTTAGCGCATAAATAAACAATGAGGCCTCATATTTACTACACCAGCTACGCTACAAGAGACATCAGGGGTGGGAGTAAGGACTTAAACAGACATTTAAAATTAAGCTAGATAATGCAACGGCTTTCAATTTGAATGTGAGAAGCTCTAAGAGCTCTAAGAGCTGATTTGTAGAAGTGACAAGCCCTTAAAAGGCCCGTGACGTGGATGGAGGGGGAGAGAGGAGGGGGGGTGGGGTGGGGAGGGGGGCTTAATGGAGTTCTACCTCTCCTCTACTCACAAAACCACTCAAGGTGAAATGCATGCTCCCAACAATATAATTCCTCTTTCAGTCAGACTGTGACACACTCCAAACAGCCTGCCATATCTCTCTGTGTGCTGTGTGTGCAGACAAGGTATCAATAAAGCTCCTTGTTGTGAGGCAAAAATGATTATATCTCCTGCGGGCAGAATGAAGCTATCCCGAAGAATGAAGTTATCCTTCGTATATGATTAGGCCTTCTGTTTTGCTTTCACTGGAGGCATCAAGATCAAATCAGGGGAAAACCATGATGACAGCTTTCATGATATACTGGCTGCCGCAGCTTGCTGTCTGTGTTCAACCTCAGGCCCCGGATACATATTTTTGGCCTTGGAGTAATAACTTAGCGCAGGTGATTCTGGTTCTCGATACGATAGTCAAATGCTGTTTAAAAAACTCTGTATTAATGCCAGTGAGCATCATTTCTCAGCACAATTGGAAGTTTGGCTCAGGACAGAGAATAAATTCAAGATGAGTCAAATGTTGTACCTACTCATAACAAACTGGGTGTAAGGACAGCAGTACAAAACAATCATTTTCACATGTTTTGTGCTGACGGTTAATACAGATTTTCTGGGTGCGTGTCCTCCAACAAGAATGATGGAAAAATCTATCAGCTGTCTAAGAATAAAATTCATCTCTGCTCTGTAAGATTTAATATCCAGCTCATGCCTCGCAGTGAAGTTGCATCGACGACATCAATATAAACAGAGTGAAAAATGTTGGCGTGAAAATTACAGATGTTTTTCTTTCCCTGCTAATGACTCCAGCTAACTGATGACAACGTTTTACTGACTTGTCCTTTACTTCTGAAGCCCTCTGCTTCTATCACTACTTTGAAATGGGATCACAAAGAACTTCGATGAACTCTCCTTCATCAGACAAAAAAAAAATTATAATTGCAGGGTGGGGCCCTTACCTTCTGGTCGGGCAGTAGTGGGTTCGTCTGCAGTGAACTCAAATGGCCGTTGATGAGTGCTGTGGGTCTGTCGTGTTCGCAGAACAGGCTGCCGTTGATGTAGTGGAACCGATCCCCGGGGACGAGCCGGTTCCGGCAGGTGGAACATGTGAAACACTGCAGCAAGGCGGGCAGAAAGACACTGATCACAAACAGGCCTGAGAATGGGGAAATTACACCATGCAGGAAACATACTGAAAGAGGTTCAGAGCACCAACATGGACGCACTTCTGCAGTGACGATGGGGGTCATGAGTGGGAAATCAGATTTGTCTGGACTCAAAGTTTAAAGGTTTAAAGAACAGGATAAGTAAGAAGCTCATGTCTGTCCAGCAGTCTAACAGAAAAGATATTTGATTCAATCTCACATTAGACTAAGCACCATTGTCTGTGGTTTACAAGCTATCGTTCAGCACTTCTGTTTCTTTAAAAAGATTGAAGGGTAATTAAGGATCCAAAAAAAGCTCATTTACTATCTGGAGATATTTTGTCAACTAAGCAACTAACTATTTCAGCCTTTGAACAATTTGATCAATCACTTCTCCGACTCCAAAGAGAATGAAAAAAGTTTAAAAACAAGCTTTATGCTCTATTGTTTTGTTAAACTTGTTACAAACGGAGACTTGGTTTTGTTATTAATGGACCCTTTTCTCTTTTGAGTGCAGTAGGATATCACAACACTCTGGCGTTTTGATCTGTTTGTTATGTTCCTTCAAATAAACACTGACTGTAATTTTCAAACAAAGATTTAAACTGTTGTTTAATGATGACAGTAAAAGTTCGTCCTTAAGTTCAAAGATGTTTGATGTAATTACAAATTTGTAATTACTCTCATTGTTACAAATGCAGATATGATTGGGTTAATCGGGTTCTGATTTAAAAAAAAAAGCCTTCACTTCATACGGCTTTTCCTGTGGAAGGACTAAAATCCTGGAAATCTCCTATCACTGGAAACGTTCTGCAAACTTTACCACTTTTACTAAATTCAGCAGTAAACCTACACTTTTGCTTTGTCACTGCTAGATGATTTTGCTTGTTTCATCCTGTACCCAGTTTCCCTTTTCTTATTTCCTTTGTATTAACTTTTTCAATCTTTTATTCTCACAAAAGCTCTTCTAGAGATGGATATTGCAAACTGGCATCTGCTGTAAACATTAGAACTGGAAAGCGATGGCTTCTTTTAGTTTGTTTACTCATATTGTCTGACCATATTTTTTAACTCAGATTATATGTATTTTTTTTCTCTCTTAATATTCTTTCTAAAACACACCTGTGCATTGCTCTGCCTATGGAATTTCACAGCGCTGAATCTTAACACCCGCATTATCATATATGTAGTGTAGATTCTTGATAACAAGCTCTGTTTGCCCTTCTTGTCATGAAGTGCCTCCTTGTTTATTGTGCTAATACTTACTAATTCTTTGGCAACAGGGTTTTGTATAGGCTTTATATTTACTGATCTCAACAGTCGTCTTTGTCAAAACAAACTATAAAATTATTCCTTTATTAATTTAATGTAGTGCAACTTGATTCATTTTAGCAGCAGCTCGCCACCCGAACTTGGCAAGTAAACATAACAAGCAGAAAAAGATAGAAAACGTAGTTTAATGACCAGCGTACTATCTCAAGTCAGGATGTGCTGTGTTCATACTGTGTTCATACTTTATTCAGGAGAGTGTACCTTGAGATGGTAAACGTTGCCCTGCGCCCTCATCACCAGTTCACTGGCTGGAATGGACTGACCACATGCGCTGCAGGCTCCGCTGTTTCCAAATAATCTGAAAGAGAAAAAAAAAGTAGAAAACGGAGAGGAGAAATGTTACCAAAGCCCCGCTGTGTGCTTCTGCAAAAACTTGTGTACTTTTATCTGTTGAGTGCGTATCTGAATGAGAACTCTTGAATAGTCAGTGTTTAGTTCACTTCCCCCCACTGCTGCATTTCTACCTTGAAGGGAAAACATACAGAAGAAAAAACAGAAAGGAGGAAAACAGGATGAAGAAATAGAAAATCATCACAATATCGATGTAAAAATGAATCCTCCTGCACTCTGCGCCCCACAAGCATCTCGCTCTGAAACTGCATATTACTTTTCCTGCACATTTTTTGCAACCTAATAATAACCTGGAACATAAGCAATCAGGACCTAAGAGGATTTGATTGTACATCCAGGCGGAGACATAGTGCTTTTGCCATTAGGACTCCTGTGAACGCTCTGTCAGTGCCGCGTTTCCATTAGAAACCCGTAGCTACTCGGGTTGATATATAATGTGCATGGGTTAACCTTTTCAATCATGGTGTCAACACTTTAGATTTGCTTCTGCTCATCTCTTTCGTCCCTAACCTTCTCTCCCTCTCCCTCCCTCTCTCTCTCCTTCCCTCTGCCTCTTGATAATGAAATGCTTGCTCCAGCTTCCCTTCTATCTTCCTTCTGAGTCCACAATTTAGATTACTTCATCTCGGTGAGCAGCAAACTGAATGAAATTTCGATTTGAGCAGAAAGTAATTTACTGGGATCTGGACCCATTTGTCATCATATCTCACCGGGTGTTTGCTCTATCACTGCACTTTTCCTAAGCAATCAAATAAGAGCACGGCATCTGACATGCTCCGGAGAGAAGAGAAGGGGAGAGAGGGATGGAAAAAGAAAGGGATAGGGGGGGGGGAGTGGTTAACACTGGTGTGTGTGCATCAGATAAAGTTTAAGAAAAATTAGAAACAAGTGGAAATGGATGTAGGAATTACATTTTTTTTCTGTTCAGGCATTCTCGGGGACATTTTTACGCGAAGTATTTAACAAACTCGCTCTGAGACTAAGCGGGGGAATAAACGCTTCCACCATCCCAACTCTAACCCAGGCAGTTGTTAGATATATTGACGAACAAACAAGCCAGAGCTCTTTGCAAAGGGGACACAGAAATGGCTTTCAATAAGACAGCCGAGGCAGAAGCAAATTTTGTCTTGGCATCATTTGGAAAGGCTCCATCAAAACTCAATTTCAGAAACTAATTAACTGGAGACTGTCGTCACAACGCTGCCAATTCCCTGCTTTCACTGGGACAAACATGATAGTGGAAATGAACATATAGACCTTTGCTTTAAGACTCTTATGCTTGTGCAATGTGTGGGGAAGCAAAACTACACTTTCCCCCACATAATAAAGCCGCCTCGTTCGGATATTCAAACTTTGCTTAAATTGGGAATATGTTCCTCGTGTTCATGTTAAATTTATTCCTCCAGGAGCTTCAGATGTCGAAACAAAGACTACTTTTCATCACAGCCTTTTATATTTCACCCATAGCAGGTTAATTATTTTACCAAGGGAAAGCTCCTGATAGTATTTGATTTAAGGAGCCAAAGCCTTTAGGTGCTCAATTAAGTTGCTATATCAGCTTGAACTTGGGCTGTAATGGCCTCCTCTGCCAGTGACCTACAGCGCCGAGGTGAAGTAGACACCCCAGGTCGGTATAATTAAGGCCAAGGGACTCTTTAATTGCAGTGACACATCTGGTTTTGGCTTTTTCCCTCCTAAAGAAATCAGCACTTTGTAAGATGTTTCTAGAGGGGGCTTTATCTTGATTTATCCGTTCTTCCCTCTCGGGGATGTGACTTCTCCGCGACCATTGCATCTGATTAAATTAAATAACAAACGAAAAAACACATTTGGAGCTGTCTGTTGTCTATACAGGCAATAACTATTGGATTTCATTTCAGCACTGACTGCCAGGTGAAATATAGCATGGCTTTGCTGCTAGGCTGTCTGGTAAATGCAGACCTCATTCACCAAGGCCTTTGAGTGGGGTAAAATTACCCCACAACAATGATTTCTGCAACACAGTCCATTAAAAATGCCTCTCTACATCAGCAGCCAAAGCACCTTAAAAGCACTAAGGCCATATTGATACTGAAGCGGGGCTTTGCATAATGGCAAGAGCTGCATTAGAGGAAAGGGTGGAGGGGCCGAGGACGGGGTGGGCTGGGGTGGGGAGATTGCGAGGATGAGGGAGGGAGTGCGTGGATCTGTGTATGTGCATGTGTTTTGGGAGGAGGGGGATGGGGAGGTGTGTGAGCGTGTGTGTGCGTGAGGGTGGAGGATGGAGGGTGGCTGTGGTGGAGGGGGATCAGCCAAATTACACTTGGTTAATTCAGAGTAACAGATCTGGCCCCAAGTGAATTGAAGGCCTTGAATTAATTCTGTTATGACAAATCAAGATAAACGTTTCCCCTAAATTGCATGCGATTTAATTAATTTCTGAGATCCCGTTTTTTTTCTCCTCGGCCTAATAGTTCACATTCTCTTGTGCTGTCATAGTGCTTGAGTGGGCAGACTTCAAAGTGATATTAAATAACCAACTATTAGATTTACCTCACACGTTCTATTGGAAAAGTGCCATTTAATTACCTAGGCTTATTCAATTAAGGGGGACAGCATTCTCCCTGAATCCAGCAGCCACAAGTAAATTAATTCTCCCTCTACTAGCAGCCCGCAGAAATAATATCACCTCCAGCTTAGAACAACACGATCCAACTTTGGCTTTAAGTTTGACATGAAAGCACAGACACAAACTCGTCCTGTGATGTTTGGTAATATTCCCGCTTGATTGATGGGAGATTGGTATCATCCCGGGCCAGGCATACATCCCATTATAGCTCTGATGTGGTGTGTTCTGACTCCAGATCAATCATCCCAGCATTTTCACATCAGCTTTATTAATACAAGTTTGGAGGAGCAGCTCAAAAGCAGCTTAAAAATGTATGTCGTACGGGCAGTTTAGCAGTCTATTATAAAAATGAGTCTGCCCCTTTAAGATGAGGGGGAAAAAAACAGCAGCAAATGGCCTTCGCAATAATCCCTCTTCTCTATCTGTCTTTCTCTCTTGGTCTCTCTCAAAAGCCAATTTGGTTAATTAAATGTTTTGTTTGCAGTGTGGCTCTCATTCATTTCGGACACGTCATTGGGAGCGGATACAAGCCAGGGACCAGATCTCATTAGATAAAACCCAACAGGACTAAAGGAAATGGAGGGGGACTATAATTAAAGCATTTAATTGTGTAGACTCACTGTCAGATGCCCCCCCCTCCCTCCCCGCTCCTTTATCTCCACAGAGATCTCATGGTTCCATAATATGCGTTTTAGCTCTTCCACCAAGCATGCTCTCATTACAAGTGGAAAGGTGTATCCACATTTTCCCCCCTTCCAATTTTAATTACGTTATAGTCCCATTATGAATGAAGTACCCCATTGACTTTCTCATCCTTTTCATGAGGTGGGTGTTTCACAGCGCACAGACACACTTTGAATTTTTTTGTGCAGATTTAATAGCAGTGTTCATGTTGGCTCTGGTGCAGTTCTATTTTTTTCCCCCATATTAATGGAAAAGAAATCAACTTTTTTTCCCCAAAACTCCCATCATGGATTTGCACGAGTTTTTTCACTTATATATCAAAAAAAGCTGACCTTGAAAACACGTGTTTTAAAGTCATCAATGAGTCAGACAGTAACAGTCAAACCTGGTAATTACAACCACTGAGTTCAAAATTGTTTTCACACCCAAAGGTGACTCATATAAGTATTTGAACTTGCAGTAACCTGTGCCCTGTGCTCTGACATCAGACAGGTCTACATTACCAGAATAAGAGTGTCTTCAATAAGCTCTGGTGTCTGGCACACCTACTACAATATTTAAAACTGCTCTCTTTGCTAATTGAATGGTGGGTTTCAACTCCATGAAAAAACACAAAAAAAATAAATAAAACTCTCATCATCTGTGCCAAGATCTTACGTTGTGCATGTGTCTTAAAGTGCGACAACGACAAAAAAAAAAGAAAATCTATCAAGACTAATTTTCTGTCCTCTGACCATGAACAGCCAAACATGGATGGTCGGCAGTGCAACTTTTTTGCTTAGCTGTCTGTCAACTTGTCAGTGTGTTTGACCTCTTTCAGAGCAGACCATGGAGGCTTAGACCGGGATACTTTCAAGAATTAGCAGAATTTGAGACACATGTTTGAAAGCAATACCCCGCTTTGCTGCTGAATGCATGATAACCTGGATGTCTTTTTACTCAGCATGTCTATTTTATCTGATTTCAAACTAATTTAGCATCATTTCTTGATATAATCCAGATCTTTTTTTTTTTTAAGAAATTTGTCCAGTCTCTGAGGAAAGAGTTTTAGTTGCAAAACTTACGCTCTATCATAGGGACAACTAGGTACGTTTTTCCTCACCTGATGTAGTCGTTTCTACAGAGGATCATGCCGCTTTTTGTGTAACATGACGTGCCGATTTCGCCCAGCTGGGCCTGGCAACAGGAGCACTTGAGGCATCGGCTGTGCCAGTAGCTGTCCATGGTGTAGAGTAGGAAACGGTCTGCGATTTTGCCCCCGCAGCCTGCACACCGCTTCCAGGACAGGGAACCTGTGCCCACTGGTGGTGGCTGGCTGCTGCCTCCAGGATTCACCATTGTCCCTGAAAACAACACACACAGAAGAGATGATGTTCAAAGTCTGCAGGGTTGAGGTCACTGGTTGTGTGTACGCCAGAATTGTTTTGTATACAATCGGGTCAAGAACTGGGAAGAGCCACAGGGCTATTGAATCCATACTCAACAGGGTAATTGGATCATGTGTGCCACAAACAACAAGTCAATTTATCAATTTTAAATTCCTATTCAATAAAAACTTATTTTTGTATCTTAAAACCACAGAAAATCAGAACAAAAAACACTACAGCAGATATCCTAAGAGGAAGCAGTATAAGTCCTGCTTTACAACAACAGGACTACAAGTCATTTAGCGAACTAATCTGCCCTTGATCTCCCCATGTCATCCCTGTGCTGCTGCTGCTTCACTGGACCTCTCATGATAAATGTCTGTTAACTGATAACACCGGGAGCAGCAGGAACAATTATGCAGAACATGCTTTTGTTGAGCTGTCCCAAGAAATTCTATAAAGAAGCACAATACTTTGGCGCATAATTCCTCACTCTATTGTAGTTTACATAGCTGCTGAAGCAGTGGTTTTTGTAGCAAAACAAAACAGAAATAGTGAAGGAAAAGCTTTCTTGTAACTTAACAGTTATGCCTCTTGTGTTTACCAACACTTGATGCATACAAGGCCCTTAACCTGCTGAGATCCAAATACGATCTGTGTTGCAACTGGCATTAAACAGCACCTTAATGGAGCAGATAAACCACAGATCTGCTGTAATGATGCTAAGTGTTTTAATCTGATGCAATGCAGGCATTTGTTCCAACCACAAAATTAATGTGGTTTCTTTCACATGTAATCCTCTCCAATTTGGTGAGGCAGACTACATGGATAAAGCCAAATCTTTGTTGAAAGGCAGGTAGGCTAATTAGAGTTGGGGAGGAGGTGGGAGGGGTGGGGGTGCACACAGAAAAGCATTCAGTAAGCCCATTAGCGATGGCTCTTAGGGACAAACCACAGCGTACCTTAGTGCTGATTAAATCTAAAAGGAGATGAATCAAAAGGCCGACCTGAAAGTGACTCCCTGGATAAACAAGACGGACCATCGTCAAGTTTCATTCAGAGAGGAGTTTTTCTCTTTTTTTGCTGAGGGATGGAGGGGACAGGAGAGGGAGAGGAGGAAAAGGATGAGGAGGGAGAGGGTGGGGGTGGCTTTTAACTTAAATGGGCTAACTCAAGTAATTACACGGGCAGGCAATTTGGACGCAAGTCATGGAAATAGAAGAGAAAGGGAGAGAAATAGAGAGGACGGTAGAGGGGGAAAAAAAACACACCAGGCAGCCATGTGCTAAAAGGTCCTGTTCACTGCTTACTGCTGCTTTTCGATGGAAATGATAGAAATGTATCATCACTTTGGCGTTATTGCGGCGTAAATGTGTGAAAATGTGGGATCAGGAGAGGACTAATGTCGAGAGGGCTATCAAATGTCACTGCAGGCATTCCACACATGAGAAAACCACAAGTAAAATCGACAAGACTGACATTAACAATAACTAAATCTAAAATTAAGGACATTTTAATGAGTTTCATGCGACTGTATATTAACTGGCACTCACCTCGTTTGCCTCTTTTAAGTGTAATGGCTGTAAAGTTGAAGAGAGGAGCGGTCGGTAGGTAAACAGGTACGCAAGAGTCCCAAAAAAGTACAGGTAAACCGCGGACTCAGTACCGCGCGAGGTCGGCCTCCAGCTCCGCGCGACGACGAGGGCTCGAGCTCGATTCCTCACTGGCTGGCGGGCAACAAGCGGAGCGCCGAGCAAATGGAGTTATCAGATAGTATTTCCACTGGATGGTTCCCGTTTTACTGTTGGTGCTTTACTGCTCTGCTTTTCGCTGGAACAAAAGGAGTCCATTGCAAGCTGTAATTAAAGGTCTGTGCATGCCGTAATTTCCTCTGGGCGACACGAAGTGCGTGTTCTGGCAAAAAAAGAGAAGAGGAAAGAAATAACGAGGGCTGGCACAGAGGATATAATTGACTCTCCTCCGGTCTGCTCGAGACTGTGGGTCCCGTTAGCTGCTTGTTCTACATGTGTCGCTGACAGGAAGAAACCTCCAGTAAAAAAACCCCTTTTAGCCGCGTGACGAAGGTGCCGACGCATCCAATCAGTGCGCAGTCCATTTAGGAGGAATAACAAATCCAGCCAATCAGAAGGAGGTCAGATTGACTTGGACACGCAGAGGATGGAAACGGGGGGGAGATGAACAGTGAAGATGGACCGAAAAGGTGCGAAAGAAAAGGTAAATTCACACACTTACAAACACTGACAAGTAGACTCTGAGGAGAGGCAGCAACAAGAACATCACAAGACTTAATATAAATATGAATAACATAAAAGGGTACTGATCGTTCGTGAGTATCTTCTTTGATGGGTTGCATTAATACATGTTTTAAATTGGGCTAACCTCATTGATGGCGTAGGCTATAATATTTATAAAAAGACTCATATGCACTTTCATCCTAATAAAACTGGTTGATCCGCATTTTTATTACTTTCCAGTAAAGAAAAGCTGTACATTTTTTTTAAAAGCTCGCTGCATAGCAACATACTCTGAGCTGCATTCATCTCACGTCTGACTTTAATTAGTTGACATTCAATAACTACTTAGTTTACCGAGGGTGACTCCAACCTCTGGGAAATATCAAGGCCTAATAGCTGCGTGGTGGCGCCATCGTCTGTCACTTAAAGAAATCGCAGCAAGGCCTGCTGTCGTTTACAACCTCATTAAGCCTCAGGTCATTGGTTTCAACACCTATTAAGGCTAATCTGCAAGACCTCGATTTGGCTGAGATGCTTTAGTTCATTCATCCTTATACAGCTTAGTTTTTTCCTCAAAGACAAGATAAAGTAAAAGAGGTTGCAACACCATTTGATAAAAGCAAAGTGGTGCTGACATGCTTTCTAGTGTTTTATTGACAAAGAAGCAAATTCCTCCTTCTTTATACTCAGTTCTAAAGGTCGCCTGTGAAGCAATCAGTGGCATTTAGTTAAATGGAAAATAATGTTAATGAATTTGTGTATAACCAGCTGAGTATGAAAATTGTTTTGTAATTATGAGATTGGACTTTTTGTATAGGAGTGAGTCTTCTGCCGCAAAGGCAGTCATGTTTCGACAGTAGCATAGATTGACAAACAAATGTGTTTTTGTAATTGATTGAAATGCACTGGTTTGGACACTATAAACACAGTTAGTCCATCAAAGTTACGATTTATTTTTTCATTTAAATTGGAAGTCAGTGCAGTTGTTAGGATAAGTCATTATTACATGTCATCATAACTAATGTAAAGTGTTCCAACTAAACATAAATGAATTAAATTTAGAAATTGGAGGAGAAAGGATATGCCTAACAATAATAATGACGACCCAAATATGAATATATTGAGCATCATAGCTCAATAAGGCCATTTACCTGGACTAATGTCCTTATCCCAGTTTTAATGCACTGGGCAAAATTACTAGCAGTGGCATGCCCCCACTCCAGTAGGTAGCAACATGCCTTTTTCAGCTCGGCTTATCACTTGGCTGATCTATTACTTATCAAAAATTGACAAAACACTTTATCAGCATTCAGCGAATAATGAAGACACTTTTGCAGCTCAGTACAATTTGTAGGATAGGAAAGTTTCGTCTTTTTTACATTCATAATTGGTCTTTTGGGATTTTGTTTACCCTCTGGCTTCGTAGCAACAGGTCTATGGTAATCACCTTTTAGTTGAAAGCTGAAAGCCTGTTGTGCAAACCCTGAAGCATGCGCAGAACGCCAAGGCTAGTTTCAGTTCGATTGAGCCGAATACATGCAAGCAAAAATTGATGTTCAACCGAGTTATCCAGGTACTATGTTAACTATTGAGAAGTTCGATTTATGTGATTTCAGTCAGGCTCATGTGTTAACATGTTTTTCAAAAGTCCAGTTTCAGTCAGGCTTAGGCAATGAGCTGATCTTTTGAACAACATGTTTGAACAATTCAAATGTAGCTAAGTAGTGTTTAGCAAACAAGCTCAAGTTAACTCCAATTCCAATAAGATTTTAGACAGCCAGGACACCAACTTTTTTTAGCTTTAAAAATTGTTAAGTTCTTTACTGTAGTTCTTTACTTAACAGGAGAAAGGAAAGGGAAGTGGTTGGTTGTGTTGTTGGTAGGTTGGTGGTGTGCAAAACGTGTAGGATCATCACAGGACCTTTTTGTCCTTATAGGCCACCATCCCTGCAGAGATGGAAGGGGTGAGCAAGGAAGCATTTTTAATTTAGAACCTGACCATCACATGACAGGAAATATTCCCATTTCTACACATCATTACTTTAAAAAACTACAAGCTGCCACATCAGTTGTTTGTTGGAAAACAAGTGACGTCTTTGGTTAAACTAAAAAAAGTGTTTCTATTGGAGAAAAGTTTACTCAGAGAAGTTTTGTTTGAGGTTGGTGCAGTGGTTTTACATGACAAAACAGCTTCATTATAAGATGCCCCCGGCTTCATTAGAAAGACATCAGATGTATAAAGATGATCTTTTTCTTGACTTTAATTGTTTAATTATTCTCGCAGCTCCAAAGAGATTTTGCTGCATCAAGCTGATTTCCCTTTGGCAAAGCCGATGCTACTCCACCTTGGTTTGAGCCACGTTCTCCTGACACACTCATCAAGAATCACACTCACAAGAACAAAAAAACCCACAGAAGATGGCAAAGAATATCTTTTCCACCAAGGAATGATTAATTGATATAAATGATTAAAACAGAGGGAAATTATGAAATGGATTTGAAAAGGGGCCTCATAGGAAAAGCTTTGTTTGTTCCAGGCCTATTTTAATGAGCTTTTCATAACTGGGCAAGAGAAATTACTCTGCCCGTTTCTTTTTCTGGAGCTCTTTTTTTGCAAAAATAATTATGGCTAGCTGAAGTGAGGAGAAGAAAGAGGAGGGGTGGAGGGGTCAGGGAGTTGTGAGGGGGAAATTTCCCCTCAGAAATTGATCATCTCCTTTCTCCACAGAGATCCTTAAGTCCTGTGGCAGTTTCCAAGCAGCAGCATTATGAAGTGGACCAGAAATAAGAAAAAAAAAAACACAAACAATATGGCAGAACACTATTTCAATGTTTAAAGAGGGACAAGAGAGCGTCAGATGTGGCTCGCAGTGTTGATACTCCCCACAGGGGTGATCTCACCAAGATGAAAAGGAGACCACAGTGCTCCATAATGAATCTGCTTGTCCTGTGGGAAAACGCAAGAGAGCCACATTCAACACGGTGGTTAACTTCAGATTGGGATTCACTCTGTGTTATTTTCTATTAACATGACATTGAGCCACAAAGAGGCCCGGCTTCAATCTGAAAGTTTACACACCGGAGGCAATCTTCTAACCAAACAACACGCAGGTCATCATAACTTTCTCTCACACTCATCTCAGCGGATTGTTTACCACAGCAAAGTGTGGCCTTGTTGTCTGTTTGTCATGTAGCATTGCTCTCGCTGTCCTGCGCGCGCGTGCTTGCGTGCGTGTGTGTGCTGTCTTTTAGAGAGAATGATATTCACTTAGCTGAGCCGACTGATGAGGCAAGATTAGAGTTCAGATTATCTGCAGATACAGAAGACCCACTCCATGACTGAATGCCGTGTGATGGACTCGGCGGAAAGATCTCTAAATGAAATCTTTTAAGTAACTGGCTACTTACTTAAAAAAAAAAAAAAACAAAGGAAGTTGCATTCAGACATTTTGGAAATACACTGTTTCTTTATGTTGCCTGGAGCTGAATTAGATGAACAGTACATGATGGAAAAGGGATTTAGATATTAAGCTGAAACCGGTTTGTTAACTCAGTTTAGCACTAAGCGACAAGAAGAAGACAGAGAGGTAGTTTGTTGTCTGTTTTATGTCCACTCTTCAGGGTACTGTTGTCAGGACATGCTAAACCTAGCTTAGCAGAAGGACTGGAGACATGAGGAAACAATTAGCTTGGTTATATCCCAAGGGCAAAGCCACCTTCAAAGAATTTAAGGGCCTGTGTCCATAAACACTCAGTACATTTACATTGTCTTAAAAAAATGCAATAGTTTAACTGAATCAGGACTTTGCAATGCATGTAAAACACAGGGCTGGCTGAAATTGTACAAAAATCAAACTAATCATAGTCAGAGTAGATTGAATTTCCTTGTCATAGAGCTCAGTTGAACTGAAACTGACCTGAGCGTTCTGCACATGCCCCATTTTTCCTACGCCAGGCTCCGAGCTGTGGTTGAACAGCATGGACGAGTTGCTAGGAAGCCAGGTAGTAAACAAAACCTTGACATACAAAGAAAAAAACAAAGAAAAACAAAAACTTGCAAAATGCCAGAACAATAAAAAAATGTTTTCATGACAGTCGAAATAGATCCCCTGGACACCAGCAGAGTATGTTTGAGTCATGTAATTAGCTAATGAAAATGTAACATTGCGCTAATGTATTCAGTACACACTTATTTATTCTATCACTATGGTCACTTGTTATCGGTAGCCCGTCTTTTTATTCCCTCAATCACAAACAACTCGTTAGCAAGACCTTTAGCTTCTTCTTCGGTTCAAATAGGGGTTGGTAAACAATGAAAATGGTGCATTACCGCCACCAACTGGTAAGGAGTGTGGATCAGGATAAACTATCTACAATCTGCGAGAAAGGATTTTAAAGAAATAACAGAGAATAACAAAACACTTTTTTAGGGTAGTATTTTTCTGTGCTTAAGATCACAGTTAAATTGCTAACATAAGGTGGTGTTCAGATCCAAAAAGGATGCTGTAAACTCATTATTGATAAGGGTAATATTAATATCTGTGCAAACTGTCTGCAGTAGAGCAGATTAGCTTTCAACTTGATCAAATGTCGCTGTATTTATATAAAACTCTGATGGTTGGTTTTAATTTAAAAGGGAGGGAAAAGTTTTTTCAATTCCATACATGGAAACATTAATACACCCCAGTTCATAGTCATGGAAGAATACACTTCTGTGATTTGTAGCTGCAAAAAGCAAAGTCAGACTGACCAAAACAGTGTAATCACACTCCTCAATCTGAGCTCATTGCAGCTTTGTGTTGCAGCATATGTTCCCTGTGCTGTTCCACTTTCCCATGTGTTTCCAGCCCGACTTGGGTCAGGAAACAATAAAACAGTCAGAAGTGTTTCTGCTCAATATTCCCTCTTTCTCTCTCTCTCTCTCTCTCTCTCTCTCTCTCTCTCTCTCTCTCTCTCGAAATATGCCTCACTTCATTTATTTGGTGGCATTGATCATGTCTGCCTATTGTTTGTAATTAAGCAAAGAACAAGTGAGGTTGAGTAAATAGCAATCAACGACTCAATAAATACACCCTGTATGTCGCAGGGTTTCTATAAGGACTGCGCTGATAGCTTTTGATTTTATCAGCTGCAGGCAGAGCAACGACTCTGAGAAACATGTCAGCACTGAAACCCTGCTCAGATGATCAAGAGATTAAAAAAAGAAACCCAAACATACTGTATCTTACACTTTCTTTGATACATGTGGAGGAGTTCAGGGATCTCTGCATTTGAGGTATTACATATTCTGTAGAGCAAATTAGTATATACCTGGTGTAAGCCTTAAAAGTATTGTGTAACATCTTTAAATACTCTTTGTTATATGTAATTGTCAAGGGTTCCTAAACTGTGAACCAGCTTGTTATTGTCTTAACAGGTTGCCTCTGATAGGGAGCAATTTTGGGGGGCTTCTGGTCTAGCCAGTAGTTAAGGATCAATGGGCCTAGGCAGCCTTTTCTTTGTACTTGTCATCATGAGCAGACGAAGTAGCAATCATGAGATGTCGTGATAAATAGAAGGCTAAATAGATCTTGAGCACCTACAGTAAATATTCCTTCAGCTCTTAGGACCATTTTAGAATCTTTCAGCTCACTGTTTTGGTCTCACAACATGCAACGCAACCAATAGAGTTGATCCCTCTTATCAGTACCTTTTGCAACAGCAGGCAGTTGTTTAAGCCAGAAAAGGACTAGATTTTTTTTAAAGAGTACAATCACAACTCCAAATCATTTAGGTCTGCGTCTCCTGGCTGTGTAAGGAGGCAGCTGCTCTCTGTGTCAAAGGAAACAGCAACATTTAAACAGGTTTTACTTCATGTTTTTCTGCAACGACGTCTCAGTAGCAGTTTTTTTTTTTTACAATTGTTTAAAAACAATGAATTCTGATTCTTAAAATTGCATGTTTAGTTTTACTATTTTTCATTTCAAGACAAATCTTAAGACCAAATAAATAATGCAAAGCAGTTATCAATGGTATGGGTAATTTAGATTACCCACTGATATCATGATCCCTTGTGAAACTCAAAGCGAACTTAAAAGAGTTTAACTTTGGTTCCTCTGAGTGTTTCAATCAAGTCTTGTATGCAAGAAACTACTGTTGGATTCAGTGTTAAGGCAAAAGGCTTGACACAAAATGCCATCCTTACTCATACCACCCTGCACTTCCCTCCACATAAGAAAGGCTGTCCATGGCAAATTATGTTCAGATCCTGTTTGTAAACTTTCAATTTAATCATTCTATCTTTTACTATTTAAGGTCCATTTAAAGTTGTAGCACTGCCACTAAAAAGCTTTCTACTTACGTATGTTACTATTTTACAGAAGCCAAGAAGGGCCATGGATTTTTATTATTTTATGCACTGTTATCTTGTGATAACGACTTATTTAATTATCTCGATATAATGTTTCATTTTCTCGACTTATTTTTGTTTTCTCCATATAACAAAGTTGGTTTTCTCATGATAATGGAAATGGCGTTTTAGCCGAACTCAGTGGTAACTTTTTAAAAATGCCCTCCAGATTAGCATATTTTTTAAATGCAGCAGCCACTGTTGTCAACAGCAAGTCAGGGTTTTCAATGAAAAAGGTGATGGCATGCTCCATTTTGCGCATTACACTTTTAACTATTCGCAACAGTTAAATGTTCCCACATTCCCAAATCCAGGGTTGTTCTCAATTCTTTTTAAAACTTCTGTTGTTATTCTGTGTTAGCCCCGAAACACTGGGACTAAGTCCCTCTCATGTATAAAGCTACTTTGCAATAAACCTGATTCTGATTCTTATGATGATCCTTCCACAGTGTTGACTGGTCTGAGGTTGGATGCCACCCATTTAGTAAGTACTGTGGCTAACATCTTTGATTTAGTTTCACCCTCCTCCTGTGTTAGGGTTGGCACCGACCCGTTTTTGGTTTTCAATGCATAAAAGATCTACATAAATTGTTTTTTTGGCATCAAGACTTTGTCAGGAACCTCTTTTTTAACAAATTTTAAATAATAATTTACTAAATTATAAAATGCTCCGGTTGAAATTATGGCCAATATGGCCAGTTGCGTGTTGACATCAGTGCACCTACATGCTTAGGGATTATAAATCTGACAAAGTAAATCAGCAAAAACAATTCAATAAACATCCTGATTTAATATAATGACATCATAAAAGTCATTCTCATGATTTTATCACAGCTTTCAAGAAATGATTAAGCTGATTAAAATTTGTATGATGTACAAAAGCTTTGCAAATCATAGCCTTGGCAATTCATTAGGAACAAAATGTTCTGCAGTGCTGAGTGTTTCTCTGCTTTAAGTATCCTTTTCCTTTGTTGCAGCAGACTTAAAAGGTGGTCAAATTAAAGTCATTTAAAAATCTACAGGGAAATAAATTAGGAGTTGCAGTGTTGCAGTCCCAAAACTGAAGGGATTATAAATCTGACATACCACCACAGTGTGAAACAGGATATGCTGCTTTCATGTGGGTATTTCAGAGCTGTTTACTGCTGAGATATGAGTGAAGTGAGAAGGTCTTCATTCTAGCTAGAAAGATTTTCATATCAGTAAGAAATAAGCCCAGGGTGACGCTTTCATGTGGGTATTTCAGAGCTGTTTACTGCTGAGATATGAGTGAAGTGAGAAGGTCTTCATTCTAGCTAGAAAGATTTTCATATCAGTAAGAAATAAGCCCAGGGTGACTGTGTATTAATATCATAATTTTATTCTATAGTTATGTTTATTTATGTTTATGTTGACTAGCCTTATTCTATAATTGAAATGTAGCTTTAAAACCAGAAAGGTTTTCTTGTTTAATATTATTCAAACAAGAAAAAGCTGATGAACCCATAATTAACTAATTTTAAGCTCTTGTCTGCAGGATTGGGGCTTAAAAAGCAAACATCCCCTGTAAGGCTACATATGTAATCTCTACATTTTTATATGAATACATTGGATTCTGCATGTTTTTGGTGAATCAGGGTGCATATTTTCAAACACAACTGAAGCCCTTGACGGTAATGAATGTGCACAACAAAGCCAGAAAACTTCTCAGCGATGGAAAAAAGGGAGATGTGAAATGATGGAATTCAGAAAGTAAATGACAGAGAAGCGAAAGCAGCCTCTCCTTTAAGTGCTTTGATCGTTGGATAATTGCTTCTGCACACTATTTGAGACTCTCTGCATGCGCACACGTACAAACACAAACAGAACACCATGTGCCGCCTCTAACAACATTGCTTTAATGAAATGTCGTGAATCCTTAATGAGTCTCAATGTCTTGTGATAAATTTCATAATTATTCAACCCCACACAACCGGAGAGGGAAATTCATCAGTCAAAGCAAATTAGTTGGGATCCATTAGGGTTCAGTGTCTTGTAGGGACATTCACTTTATTAGCTCCTTACACCCATTGCCATAATTGGGAGCATATTTCATTTGGCTGTAACCCCACTTTACTGAATGACTGCTCTTTCCTTTTTTTATTTACAGCAATGTGCTATGTGTTCATATATTTTGTCTGGCTGCTAAACAGTAGAGCAATCGCTTTAGATTGATGTGTGATTTTTCTTCTGTATGGTTTAAATTATTCTGGATAGAGATTTCCACCTCCACTTTAAAAAGTAGGTTGGGAAACACCAGATGAGGAACAATGTTACAGCACACAGAAACAGCTTAATTCCACCTGTTTTGCCAATCTGTTTTTGCTGGGAAGTTCTTGGTCTTGTGACTCCGGTTTTTCTGTGGTTCTGCAAACTGGAACCAAACCAAATCAGAGCACAAGACGGACTAAATACTAAATACAGTACAAATACAATATTAAATTCAGATCTGGTGTAATTCTGGCATAAGGCATGCATGATCCGAAAAAAGATATCACAACACAAATGCATTACAATAATCAATACTTTGGGCACTAAACCATGCAAGAAAACACAGTCTCAAAATCAGTTCTGCAGTTTCCAGGTATTGTTGTAGCAGTGTGCCGAGTTGTGTGCATGTTTACATTCTACGGTATTGTAACAGAGATACAGACACTGCATACACAGTGGTCAGTTTCTTTATGAGAGGCTGCAATAAAGTGATTCCAGTTAGATGTTTATCATAGATTAATTCTGGGCAATGTGAACATGGTCACTGCATGTTGTATTTCAGGTCATTGCTCGTCCTGTGATGTGACAGTTGCTCAGATGTCACTGCAACTGTGTGTTGATATGAACCATTCTTATACATCTGTATTGTGACGTTGTTATCATTTGTCACAAAGCTGATATCTTATCCTGTCAGAAATGGTCATTTTCCTTTGCCCTCATAGATTTTGTTTTCTATAGGGAGCCTCAAATTGAAGGAGTCATACTGCCTGCTTTTATAATAAAATTCCCGTGAGGAACTGACAAAATTGTACTTCTCATGTTTTTGCTGATCACACGTGGAAGTTGTGATTTCTGATGAGCCTGCTTTTATTTATCAAAATTTTGGGTGGACCGCAGAATGTTTTCCGATGCTTTGGTTTTTCGAGGGGCTGATTTTACATTTTGAATGACAGAAGTGGTAAGAAGCCTGAATAACTGCCCCCTTTAATGCAGATAAAACAAGGTGATGATGAGAGATGGTTTTGTCACTCTGTGAGGAAGCCTTGGTCTGAGCATGCTGCTCCTTGTTGATCAGTTGCACACGGTGGAGAGGGTAATTTCTGTAGGATGACTGATGATGGCTTAAACTCACAGATGCCTCTCTTGTTTGTCTTGGGGCTGCCTCAGGGTTCGTCTTACCCTCACTCCTCTCCCTCTTGTTCTGACAACCTGCAGACATCTCAGATGAGCGGCATTCTTCCCACAGAGACACCAAGTCTCAGACCTGGAAGCATGAACAGGAAAGCCTGTCTGTTCAAAGTCAAGGCCATGAGACACTGATGGCAGAGAGTGGAGAAGATTAAGCAAAAGTCAATTGAACTTGGTGATCAGTGAAGATTTTGTGGAAAACCTTTTGTATTCTCTTAATTCACCTTTACTTTGAAGAGTAGTGACTTGCATTAATTAGCATCACATAAGGTTTAAGCTCTACTGCACGTCTGACCATATTTAGTTCTATGTTGTGCAGTCGACCAACCATATTTTTTGACTTGACAAGAATTTCATCAGATCACTCATGAGCAGTTGATAGGGCCGTGGTTGGCCCTCATGACCCTCGGTACCCATAATGCATGTCAAAGGATGCACGATCAGTCTTCAAGTCAGCCTGACTTCCAAAGCAGTTGTGTGTAATAATAATTGGGTCAGAATTGGCTTTAAATTGCACTGTGTATGCCCTGCTTAATGGATAAGACAACTTTGGCGTGTTCTGAAACACCTAGAAGAGCCTGGATTTTGTAGTAACTCTTACACAAATAGTTAAAAACCCCATTTCCCCTCATTTAAATGTGGTGCACACCTGCTACCAAGGACTTATCACTAAGAGGAATTGTGAATAAAATGGTATAGGAACACAAATCATCTAAGTTAGATAAGATTTTATGAAGAAAATTGGGTTATGTAGACTGTAAAGTCCTAGTCGACTGGTCAACTTATTGGTTGATACATGCTGAGTCGACCAAAATTCTGACCGGACAACTCGATTTTTTTTCCACGTCAGTTTTCAGTCTATGGTTAATTTCATCAGGAGGAACGTACCAAGTGCTAATGGGGGTGTTTTCAGAGCACCCTCTTTCAGAGGTAACAGCCTGTCTCAGAACACCACCCTTGTTTTCACCATTTTGGATTCAACTAACCCACTGAAGACCAACTGGAGACAGGAAGATTGAAGAGTGTCTACGTTAATCAACATCAGGTGGTTTGCTAGTTGTAATACTTGTGTTTATTGCCCTCTCATGCTGATATCAGTATATTTTTACCCCGCCGAGCCGTGCACCACCGAGCCACGTTGTCCCCCACCGCAGAAGGCTTTGCCATCAGAGTCGGAACACCCCACCCCCACCCCTGTTAGTCGATTTTTGGTCGAAAATGTCAGGGTTGGCGTTTGGGTAGGGTTGATAATCAGCCATAGCAGACTGAGCTGTTTATCAGTAGTGTAGGTAGGTTTCACTGAAGTCGATTTAAGCTAAGGGGTTGTAGATGACAGCTCTTTGTGACAGCCTTTATAGTTTATTTGTTTATTGTATGGTCACATACGGAGATGAGAGTCACGTGGTGGAGGTGGTACATCAGCACTGGTAGTAGTGAAGTCAGCTGATCACCTGGTGGGTTTTGTGAGTGAATGGAGAAGGGCTTAACGGAGAAGTCCTAAATTTTGCTGACTGCTTATGTTTTGCTGCATATTGAATGACTGCCTTTTCCCACATAGGTGCTTCATTTCTTATCATCGATTAAACTTCAAAAGGAGCAACAGCCTATTCACTGACGCTTCTACAGCCATTGTGTTGGGCAAAGTTATACTTTCCCCTACTCAGCCTCTTGGCGACTAAGTTGTTTAGGACAGTCGCCTTTTGGGGTAAACTCCCTTAGAGTTCATTGAAGCATTTTTAGCTATCAGGGGACTCTGAATTTTCCCTGGCAGCAGAAAGCCTTTCACTGAAGCCTTGCTGTAGTGTCTTACTTTCTCATCTCATTCTGTCCACATCATGACCATGTTTGTCCAAAAAGCCTGTGCTGTGGAGCTGACCTGATTGGAAGGTAATAAAAAATCTAAGTTGAACAAAGGAAAGAAATAAGCTACATTCAACCACACCCGCGCACACACACCCGCACACACACAGAAAATAGCACCCTTATCATCCCTGTTTCATTTAGAGTTGATTGCTGTCGGATTATAATGCAATCACCACGCTGTGTGAGCCGTAACTATGGGAACTGGTTTTAACTGTTTATCTTGCCAGAGATCTTAATTTAAGTTTGAACACTCTGGATCACTTAGATGTGAGAGACATGGGAAATTGACAAAAAGGGGGTGACAACAAAGAGAAGGGAGGGAATGGGAGCTGTGGAAGAAAATGGAGAAACAGACACTTTCTTGTTCTTTCTGTTGTATTTCATATGCAATTTAATTTGTCTTTCAGAGAAAATCAATTTATGATGACAATCCTGAGGGCAGTAATGAAAGAAGCCCAGTTCCTTTGCCATGGGAAAGTTTCTGCTGGAGAATGCCACTAATCTTGGCAAAATGAATCATTCACACTTTATTTGGACATCTGTGTTAACACACACACACACTCTCTCTCTCTCTCTCTCTCTCTCTCTCTCTCTCTCTCTCTCTCTCTCTGTCTCACTCACACACACCTCCCCTCGACTTTCATTCATTTGTGACAGTTTTATTACAAGTTGCGCAGGTGGCTGGAGGCTCAGGAGCCAGGAAGAATGCCTCATGGAGATGATCCAAACTGTTGAGGAGTTGTTGAGTTTTTAAAGATGTTTCCTCTGGCTGTAATACACTTTAGGACACTCCATACTAACAAACTACAAGACTCTAAAAAGGCACACTGGACAAAGCCTCCCACTACGCTGCAGCCTGCTCTCCAAAGATGTTGACTTTAACGTGTGAACAAACCCAGATTATAGGCTTTTAGGCCATGACTCTGTGTAAGCCTGAACTAACTCCATCCTAAATACAGGAAATTGCACACGATGCCACAGTATCCTTAGTGTAGTTTGGGACTCACAGCAAGCAGCTTTATCGCCTTTGTGGTATTTCAAGAATTTCCTCATAACAACTAGAGACTCTTATTTTGAAATTGGCAACAAAAAGTGATAGTAAAGATTGTCTGCTTGTCTTTTTCAGTAATTTAGGGCAAAAGTTTCATACTTGCTCATGTAAAATTTGTGTTTTCTGTATTAAAGGTACAATAAAGCTCCAGTGAAGAGTTTTTAGCTGGTTGTGAAACAGATTAAAACTAATATTGACATCTCTGTTTGAGCTGCAAAAGCAAAAAAAGACCATGGGCATCTCATCATTTTCTCTCCATTGTTATGTTTAATGTTTGTAAGCACTACCACTGAGTACGTTTCAGAGGAAGTAAATAACAGTGTGCTGCAGGAATAGCCTTTGTTGGCATTTTAAGCAGTAAAGATCTGCAGTGAGTGATACGATTGCTTGATCAAACACAGAATTAAGAGATTTTTCTCCACACGTCTTATACATCAACAAGACATAATTAGCAAAGAAATAAGCGCTACCGTTTGACCACCAAAATTGACAGGGTTCCTCAGAAGCTTAAAGGGACAGTTTAAGTTTTTTTTTTGTTTTTTTTTTTGAAGTGGGGTTGTATGAGTCACTTATAAGTATGTATGTTGTTGTTTTTCCCCCTGCTGAGTGTACTGATCAGCTAATTGACTAGATGTGTTAGTCACGAATAAATCATGAATTCTGATATTTTTGCATTTAGATTTGACATGATGTCAAGCTGTCATGATAGTTCTTGTTAGTTCAGTTTTTTTCCCGTTTTGTAATTTAGTTTCATTTTCTGTGTATTTTCATGTTTGCGTTTCTGTTTCCTGTTTTTTCTGTTTCCATGTGTTCATCATTCTCATGTTCCTGTTGTTCTTGTGTTTCACTGTTTGGGTTTTTTAGTAATCAGTCCCTGTGTGTCAAGTCTCACCCTTGTCTGACTCACCTGCTGCTCATTTCCCTGTGTGTTTATAGTCCCTGGGCTCTATTTTCGTTCGCGCCGGTGAGGCGGCGGAGGGCGGCGAGCCCCGCGCAGTTGTATTTTCGTCTGGCGGAGCCCAGCGTAAGGCGAGTTTGGTATTTTCGTGGACTGAGTCGCACGGAGGCGAGCCGAGATCCGCCAAGCTGGGCGTGGTGGCGTGGCAGGGGGAGGTGTTGACAGAATCAGCTGGCGCAGTGACATTTTCGTGCTCGCCACCGGCGTGTAACGTGCGCTGAAAGCTCGCCGATTCAAACCTGGTCAGCTTTCAGCGCAAGGCGGAACGCAGCTGGTCTTGTAGTATTTTGGTAGACCGGCGTATCGACATACGTCACTGATGCCTCACCGGCAGGTTTCCACAGTGTCAGGCACATTTCAGTGCAATAAATAATCATCAACAACTATTAATCTGAGCCAGCACATACATTTAGATCTACATATCGATATATTCTGATCTATATCTGATCTGATGAGCGCGTTTGGCACGCGTTTGGGCACACAACCTGACCGAATCAATACAGCTGAAACTGCATCAAATTAAATTAAATATCTAGTAAATAAACACACATGATGAAGTTAACAAGATATTTAATGTGTCTCCCTCCTTTTCTTTCTTCCTCTTATTTCTCGCACAGCTCGACCTGGACACGTCTCCGTGTCCTCTGTCCGTCTTGCTGCAGCTGCTGCGGCTGAACAGATGATTTGTTTCAGCGCTCAGATGCGTTATCTACTTTAAGCCGACATACGGATATTATAATATTCAGTTTTGTGGGCCAAATTTATTTTATATGCCAACATCTATGAAAGAAAGAGCCAGGCCACGGAGCGCGATGCGTCATTTACGCACAGATGGTTCCGATTTTAATGCCATTTTTGGAGTTTATGTTGTGATCTGTGCGCTAAACCCACCTTTGTCACGTGAGGTTTGAATATATGCAACTTTATGTGAGTGTCTTTTTTGTGGAAAAGGGTGTTTGTCTTACCAGTGGGTCCAACATTACGCACACCAAATCTATCTGTGCTCAGATGAGAGAGTGTGGAGGACACTTGTTGAGCAGCTGCCCTCTGTCGCCATCGTGTGGCATAGCTGTCTTCAGACATCTCTTGATCTCTTTGACTACTTCATGAAAATAGTAATACGCCTCGCCGGTGGCGGATTTAAAGGCAAGGAGAGGAGCTTATGTGATTGGTGAAAACAGGTCTCGGCTGTGTTAAACCCCTATAAGCCCTCTCTCCTCCCCTTCTATGATTTATGCTGCCGGGAGGAGCTGAGTTAGGGAGGGGGGATACTTACGCCGGGCTGCGCGGCTCAACAAAATACCAAAATGTGCTTGGGAACGCCTTGTCAGCGCGGCGGATCTGATTGACTCTGCGCTTGCGGCACGTCTCCAGCGAGGCACCAAAATAGAGCCCCCTGTCTCCCCTTTTTTCGTTGTTGGTTCAGTCTGTCATGTTTGAAGAAAAACAAAAGGGAAGGCCCACGTGCAGAACTCAGAGATTTATTAAAGCAAAGACAAAAGAGAAAAGTCCTTTGAAAATGTCGATGCTGCCCATGCCTTTCAACCCTATCGCCTGTCCTTATGGTTTCCCAGTGCCTTTTTTTTTTCATTGGATTTCTGCTCCTAGTGTTTTAGGTCATTTGGATTTGGATTTTTGGTATATTTTCATATGGTGAATGCAGCTCATGGGATCATGAGTTGTGTCATTTTGCAATTAAAAAAACAATATGTACTGTTGTGTTGTCAGGAAATACAATACGATGTGACGTGACCCTAGACCGTGTATAGAATGGATGCTGTCTGTCTCCTCTCTGAGTAAAGCCACTCTGAGAACAGCACCCTCTGGTGACGGGCTGCAGTATAGATCATTAATCCCGTCTCCTCCAGCAATCCCTATGGAGCTGTGGACAAACTTTAGAAATTAATGACACAGAATATAGATTTTTCTCCCCCCTGGTTGTGATGTTGACATGTAGTTATTGTAAGACTGGTTTGTGCTCAAGTCCTCTTTTTTTCTGTACAGCTCCATTTTAAAAGTTTTTAGGGGGTTCATGTTTTCTATGATTGACACTTGATACAGCCTGTGGGCGTACGAAATTTGCGTAGCTCACCCGGAGGATACACTGTTTGAGCTGAGCATCATCACAGCGACTTTTGGTCACTCTTCCACTAAATGTGTACAACGCTATTCTCAAGTGGTGGTTACAAGAAGTGGAGAAAATCCTGGAATTACCAAGAGCAATTCAGCTTCAAATTCGTATAATGACGGAGCGGAGCCAAGTTGTCCACAGTATACACAGTATATGGATATGATGACATAAGTCAGATACAATAATACAAGAAGATGTGATACTACACAATACTACATGATACCATTTGATACTATATTTATAATAAGATGTGATGTATGATAAAAGATGGTAACATTCATTATGATCAATAGGATACGACAAGATATAATAGGATTTAATACAATAAATCATGAAACAGTACAATATAACTGAAGATGCTATCAAATAATGTACATTAGGATACAATACAATAAAATATAAGAGTTAAGATGAGAAAACTTGATGCAATACAGATTGTGTGCTAGTGTTTTGTAGATTTATTCATCTACTTCTTTTGGTTTTGTGAATGTTTTGTGGAATTGTTATGCAATTTGTGCTTCAACAAATGTCTTTAGTACTGTAAGAATTGAAGTCTTCTCTTAACAGGCTGGTTAAAAATGAGTCCTGCATCTCTATCTTGTTCAACCAGAAGTTAAACAGGTATGTGCAATGGAAAAAGTGCACTGCTGCCTTAAGTTTTCAGACTATGTAGTTATGTGCTCAGCTGCAGCACATTAAAAATCATGCAAACAGACCATGGCACACAAAGAAATGTGATTACATTTGCCAACATGAACATGTTTAAATCATTCAGATCCATTAAAAATGACCAACAGCTTAACTCAAAGTGTGTGCTTTTGTCTTAAGGATGATGAACAGGTGAAAAGTTGTCTGTGAATCTCATCTTGAATACCTTCTACCTCTTAGATTTCTGCTTCAATAAAATTCAACATTTGTTCTTGGAAAATTCCTCTGCCTCTTACTCATACATATTTCCCTAGAACAGAAGTTGGCTGAATTGTAAGCTGAAGTGTGAAATGGAAATAAGTTAAAGTGGGAGGTCAGCGATCAATAGGAAGTTAATTAATGAAGAGTATGCAATGTTGTGAAGTATGGATTTCCGAAGGCCTATGATTGTGTTCCAATCATTGAAATGTCACCAGCATTACATCTAGAATCAAATCAACCTGCCTTTAATTTACCTTGAATTTCTAATCTCATAAAGGGAAATATTTAATAGCTTAGCCTGAAAACCAACCACTCTAACTGAAAGTATATTCTTTCCCGAACTTCAGGGTTGACTTGTGAGGAGAGAAATAAAAAAGTTAATTAAGTTGCAATGCATCAAACATTGCTGTATAAAGTTTTGAGGACTGATAACATTAACAGTTCCTCAAAGACAGCATATTCAGCTTGCGATTCCAGTAAAAGTTGACTTTATTTTTGAGGTTTTAAAAGATTAAAAAATGAATAAAGATGGCACCTCTTTTTTTTGATAAAACCTAATAGCCTTGAATCCATCTTTTAGGGGAAGAAGAGGTTCCCATGTTTTAATAAATGCTTCAAAATGAGTGAAAATAAGCAAAGTATGTTTAATGCAACATGTCTGACCAGTAGAGAGGACTCCAGTGGAGTCATAATGTGTTAAGTGAGGGCTATGCACATAATGAACATAGTTAGTATGCATATTCATTGACCCATATAGACTCAAAATATGCCCCCTGTGAAAGATCATTGCCATGAGTCTATGTCTTGTTATTGTATGTAGAACATAGCTGCACCAGTGTTCAAGCTTTAAAAGTTTGTGTGAGAAAAGTTGTGCTGTGAAAGAGAACAAGGCTAAAAAAATTAAGTTCTGATTACAATTACGGGACGTGACACTTAGCTGATTTCAAATCAGCGAGGCCAAATTTCACAAAGCCTGTCAATGGTGGCAGCAAGCTCGCCAGATCCCTCCCCAATCAAAAGTTTGCTCTATATAATTTTACGCAATCAGATTTCTCCACAGTCATCCAGTGCAATCAGGTAATCAGAGGGGAGCATTAACAAGACAAATGGGGTTTAAAAAGTGGGTGCACTCTGTTTGCAGGAACTTCCTATGGAGAAGCCCCCTCCCCTCTTTGATTACTCCTATCACCCTCATACAGCGCAACATCCCCGCTAAATAGCTTTCCTCTACAGTACAGGCTGTATGTTCAGTTCGGGAATGAATGTGATTGGCTTTACAGGTAACAGTCCACCAGTAAATTGTTGCTTTAAGGCTATTTATGTCAAGTGATTAACTGCTCAAACTAATGGTTTCACTGAATGAGGCGTGCTCAGTAATGACCTCTTTCTCACCTTTCATTAAATGTGAAATTCTGGGGTCCAGATTGCACAGTCAGGGACCATTTATGCAGAATGCATTTTACCCCCATGTATGCAGATGCACTGTAGCTTTTGCAGTATGTGACTGGATTTGTGCTGACTGCTTTCACCTTGGATAACAAGGTGTAGCTTCACTTCATAAGCTAAATACACTGTACTGCAAAGTCCTACAATTGTGTGAATGCAAGGACTGGGCTGCAGCTATTCTTAGATCCCTAAGTTCACATGTTTAGTCCTTTCTAACACTAAGATATCACTGGCTAGCTTATTGCTAGATACAAGTTTCTAAATTGAGTTGCAGCTTTCATTTAAAGAATATGTTTGATCAGTAAAGACAACAAGCACCACTAGATGGAAGTTCCTCTCTGTGTTGTTATGATAGATTGTAATTAATCGTATGGACTATCATACGATTCATTGCGATTTAGAATATTAATGGTCTGACAGCCTTGTTTTAGCCTTGAATGTATCCAATTTAATTGGATCAGTTTAATACCTTTAAATTAGTATGATAAACTGATCCTTTCCACTGATGCTGATTTTACTGACTATCATAGACAGTCTGTGACACTTCCTTTTCCCTTTATCAGTTATACTGTTGTATCCTATACTCCAGATTTCTTCATCGTAGCCTACAGTATCTGTCTTTAATCTCTTTGATGTCAATGATTATTCATCTTTTAGCCTTTAGCTATGAAAACAGTTAGCCTGCCAGGATCTGTGATTAAAGCTGTATCCATGGCAACTGTTTACTATTAGGACATAACAGCCCATTGGTATATAGAGTATTGACCGGTCAGATTAACGTATTTACCACAGCTGTGGATCCTTTTTTAATATTCATATGTTACATGACTATTTAATGTTGTTATTAAAAACTTTTGAGCAAAGGTCACATCAGATATGATTTTTCAGTTATAATTTTCTTTTTCTTTCGCTTACAACACTTACGCCCTTTGCTCACCTGTGTTGTTTTCACCTGTGCCTTAATTATTATACTAGTCTTAGTCTCCCTCTATTTTCTGCTACTTGTGTGGATGCCCATGCATTGTAATCCAAAATACATCAAGAGTTTACTAACGTTATACCTTGTAGTTCATCACTGTGACATCATGGTGACCATTTTTTCTAACCCTGCCACCCCACAGAGGCCTTTTCTTGTACCACACATCTGTGTGCTCATGTATGCACTTAAGCTCCTAGTATATGCATTTTCATCAGGATAAGAGAAATAATTTGAGCACTCAGTAAACCTAAGAAGGACTGCTTTTAACACCCTGGAGGCCATTAAAAGCATTTTTTTTTATTACCAGGTACTTTAAGATGGAAATAGAAAATCACCAGAAGCTAATCATTAGACCATTAGCAGAGGTTCTTTCATACAGAACAACTCCAACAGACCCTGACACCTGACTACTTTGCCTGCTAGCAATAGCATTAGCCATTACAGACAGTTTTGAACTTTGATGCAGGGTGCATTTACAGTGCTGTAATGTTTGGTTCATACATTTGTCAGTTGATCAGAGCATGATAACTTTTGTCTTGGCTGTGTTTAGAAAGTGGTTACATATCGGTTTTATATTAAAGAAACATACTAAGAATAAGGATATTTATAAGGACATTAAGTGATGAAATGCACCAGTTAGGATAGTGAAGTGGCTGCTATTGAGTGCAAAAGAATTTGTATGGATTGATGTTTCTGTTGAAAATAACTTAACAGAGGTTCATAATGTGCATCACAGGAGTGCCCAATGTCCCCACCGTAGCCTCACTGACTGGAGGGGTGGGCAAGTCAGTGTTTCAATCCAGACTCAGACTGCTAGATACGAGCTATTTCCATTTCTACACACTGCAGCTTTAACCTCACAAATTACTGGCAGCTATTTTCACTCACAAGAAATTCATGCCTTTAATAATACATGCAATACGTTTGCAAGATATAATTCTGCATTTGTCAGGGTAATGTTGAAATGAAATATTCTGGCTATAAACGAGGGGAATGTACTTGCTAAGATTTGAGTTTTGAAGTGTATGGATTGGTATTTCAATCGCTTGTGAATCTTTGTTGTAGTGAAATGCAATAACATTACATGAGTGCATACAGTTAGGGAGGCTAGTTTATAAGATGTCTATATGCTGCGAAATCTCTTAACTATAAAATATGCTTTTGTCTGTTTCCCAGTAAAATAAATCTCCTACTTCTGTAAGAAAAATTGTCATAATTGTAATGTGGCTCGATCAATCTCAAAGTCTAAATAAATGTCTTGTTTCAAGCCAAAAATAAGACCTGGTTTGCTTCTAATGAGAACAATTTTGCCAGTGAGGTTAGAATATATTTACTTTTCTGGTTTATTGAATCAAGGAGGCCTCCAGGTGCCAAGTCAAAGACAGAAAAGGCCATGTGCAAAACTATACACATGGGTTGAACATCTGTACCCAAGGTGTGTAATCCACTTGCTGGTCTGAATCATGGGTACAGACCTCAACACACAATCAAACTCAAAGAATTCCCAAATGCATAACATACTACAGTATGCTACCTTGGGTTAATTACAGATAAATGCAGCTAACTAGGTAGATGTGGTCTGACAATGGGCTGTATATAGAATGGATGCCATCTGCCTCCTCGCTGGGTGAAGTCGAGAACAGCACCCTCTGGTGACAGGCTGCAGTATAGGTCATAAATCCCACCTCCTCCAGCAATCTCTATGGAACTGTGGACAAACTTTAGAAATTTATTACACAGAATATACATTTTACATCCCCCGGTTGCAATGTTGACATGTAGTTACTGTAAGACTGGTTTGTGCTCAAGTCCTCTTTTTTCTGTACAGCTCCATTTTTAAAAATTATTAGTGGGTTCATGTTTTCTATGATTGACACTTTATACAGCCTATGAAGTTTATGTAGCTCACCCGGGGGATAGGCTGTTTAAGGCTGAGCATCATCACAGCAACTCTCCCGCTGAATGCGTACAACGCTACTATGCCAGTGGTGGTTCAAGGAAGTGGAGAAAATCCTGGAAATACCGCAGGCAATCAAACGTCAAAAGTCTCAAATTCATATAATGGCGGAAGGCGTTATACATTAGCTGAGTTTTGAGTTTCTGCAGTGTTGAGGTCACATGGGGCCTCATGTATCAACGCTTGCGGCGCAAGAAAACCTTGCGTACGCCAAAATCGGCGCACACGTCCAGATTTATCATCGCGAAACGAGCGTCGGTTCCAGCGCTAATCAACGCAAAGTCAGGAGGTGGTGTAGAAATTGGCGTTGAGCTGGATATTTGCGTTGACTGTGATTCGCACTTTGGCGATGCTGTGTGGCGGTGTTTGGTGACTCACTATGTGACAAGCGTGCACCACATCCCCGTGGCCGGGCAGCACGTCGCCCCACATGACGAACCAGCAGCAGACGGAGGGATGCGAGCTGATCCCTGCCGGGCCGCCGTCCTCGCGCGGGAGAATCTCATCGCCACAGTGTGAATGGGTAAGAAGTGAATACACAGTTCAATGAGCCAAATTAATTTATGTTCTCCACCAGACGCTCGAGGAAATTTACGAGCCGGTCCAGCCGCTCGTTGATCCCCGCGATCCCCCTGATGATTTCTTCCTGCGATTGCAGGACCCCCTCCGCGAGGACCCTTCCACTGCGTCCGGGTGGTCCAGCGGAAGCGCCGCGGCTGGTGGACGCTCCACCGCTTGTCGGCGCGCTGGTGCTGATGCTGGTGCTGGTGCTGGGGCCGGGGTGGCCCGAATGCCGCTGGTCCTGGCCGACGACTCCGAGCCGGCGGACGGGCTGCCGCGGGCCGGGGTTCCGCAAGCCGGCGACACGGCCGACACATTAATTTCTGTGACACAATAAAAATATTAGTTCATTTCAATTCCTGCTTCTGTGTATCTGTTGCGTTTACATCTCTCTCCACGGTATCATAGGTAATGTAATCCAGTATTTCGAGGTCAGTTATGCACATTTCAGTTGTTTATTGCATAAAAAGTTATTGAAAAATGAAGTTAAGGGCGAAGTATAAATCACGTCTAAAAATAGACTGAATCCCGACGTTGAAATGAAGTATAAACTTAGACTAGACGTCTAATATACGTCTTTTGCTCAGTGGGATGACAAAGCATGTGGACATTTGTGTGACACGCCACTTACCCTATAATAATAATCGCCACCACCCGCTGCTCAAACGGTGTGAGGGTCTCCTCCCCCGGACCCCCACCTGTCTGGCCGGTACTCCTCCGGAGGGCAGCTGTACGCCGCTTGACCTCCACCTTGAGGTCCGACCACTTTTTTTAATCTCCGCGGGGGTGCGTGTCTCGGAACCCACCGCATTCACCCTCTCGCAAACTTTCTCCCACTCCAAGCGTTTTTGTTTTGCACTGACGCCACTGGACAGGCTGCCAAACAAAACACGCTGTCGCTCCTCCACCTCCGCCACCAGCACCTCCACCTCGCACGCCGTAAATGTAGTTTTTCTTGTCATTTTGTCTGCGTGCGAGGACAGGGAGACCCTATTTAAATAAATCTGCATATTTATAGGAGGGCGTAACGGGGACGGGCCCAGTCACTCCGACATCTGCGCTCAATTCCACGCTGATTGGGATTTATCAAGGAAACACACGTGGATTTCGGCGCCCGCACACATTGATACATACGGATTTTTTTCAGCGTGACGGACCTTGCGTGCGCTCGTTTCTGGTATGAGTTCCACGCAAGTGTTGATACATGAGGCCCCTGGTCTTTGTGCTATGCTATCCTTGAATCTCTATCTAGAAAGTACATGCCTGCTTAAATGATCCCTTTAACAACATAGAGGGTCATTAAAATTGCTGTTTGGCTATAACAATCATTGGTAGGACTGCAACTTAAAGGTTATCCTGCACATGCTGGTTGATAAGTTCAGCAGTGCTGGAATTTTGTCCTCTTTCTCTACACTTGACTTTTACTTTATCACTTATTGTGATAAACTCCGGCAAATGCAAGAGACTGACCTCTTCAGACACTTATCCAGTCCTTCTAGCAAATTTCCTTGGCTTGGAAATAATTAGGGAAGACGATGTGAGGACGACAAAGAGACAACAGGAAAATGAAATGGGCCCTCTCTCTCCAGCCCTGAGGGTCTTTGCCAGTCTTTGCAGCAATTCTAATTAAGCCCATCCAGAAACAGAGGAGCTGGATTGAGGCAGTTTCTCATCAGGGTCCCTCCATGAGCCTCCTTTGTCATGAACACACAGCCAATTACAAAGCCCAACAATAGAGTGGTGGAGTCTTATACCCTCCACAAAGAAGGGAGACTATGGAGACCTCAAAATATCCATAAGCGTGGAATGACTTTGCGAAAACACTCTCACCTCCCTGAGAAGTGAAATCAAATATGCATTCTCTTTTTGTGTGGCCTAAATTGCCTGACATTACAATTAAAATGAGCTCACAGGTTCAATTAACTGAAGTGTACACACTTAAACCATTTTACGTTTCCAGGGGAACACCACTAATCCAGTCATAGAGCATTTTTAAAAAGAAGTGCTTTCCGTTAATTAAAATGAAATATATTTGAGTGTAAAATGAATCTGAACAACTCCTACTTCATATCAAGACAAGCCAAAGATAACTTCACATGCTTATCATCTTTGCATATTAGTCTTGGCGAATAACATGAGTGGCTGCATAATCTTTGAGCTTGCCAGACCTTAGATTATGGAGCTGTCTCTCATTTTATTCATCGCTCACTGAGAGTAATTACCCAGAGATAAGTGTTCCTCTATCAGGGTCCAGTCACTGCTCTGCGAATGCAATCTCCTCAGACACGGGTCCCGTCCCAGGCTATTTGGGCGACACAGAGTGGGAAGTGGGTGCTGCAGGACGCTGGCTGAGCTTTGTGGTTGCCTGCGTTCGGATGAGGCCTTCTGACAGTCATGGCCAGGTGGGCCAATCTTTCAATCAGACACCCTATTTACCATTGCAAAGCTCTGCTGCTCTGCCTCATTTATAGCCGCTTAGGTTGCTTGTGATGAAAGGCAGATAACAGTGTACATTCACCTTCCACCCCTCTCCTCTCATGGAGCGAAAACACATCCCCTGGGGAACCTTGGACTATTATTTTTTGTGTCACATCAGGAATGAATGCTTCATCGGATTTGTAGAAAAATCAGACGACGTGTCAGAAAGTGCAATTAGTCAGTGAAAGAGCGATTTATTTTCTGATGGGGATAAGTGAGGCAAGATTAATGCTTCTAAGAAAAATCAATGAGTGGAAGAAAAACATGCTCTTTTGTGTTGTGCCTTCACACGGAAATAGACGTAAAGCAAGAAAACAATAATCCTCACCACACTGAGGGGCACAAAGACTATGAGGATGAAATTTCAAGAACTGGGTGCCCAAAGCTTCCTGATAGAATGAAATTCTTTATACGGGGAGATAAATACAGTATATAAAGAAGAACCCTACAAAGAAATGCACAACAACCATGCAGTCTTTATCTGGAAACAACAGCAAGGGTAGATTAGAGGTTTTATAAAATTCATTAACCAATTAGTTTGTTGTATGTGAATGAGTGAAATGCATTTGGTAGTTGTAGGTGTTAGCTCTTCTCTGGGCCTCATGACTTGCAGGCCTGGATTTTGGTGTCAGTAATGTTCTGCTTTGCACTTGTGTCTAGTGATGCACCACAACTCTGCATCAATTCACAGGAAAAAAAACAGCTAAGTTTGAAAGGTTAGTTTCATTCTGCCCATAAAAACACATTCCTTGGTGACTTGATGAGGTTTTGCTTCTTTAATTGCTTGAAACAATAAGTTGGGTACAGCTGCAGCCTTGGAGTCTCTCATCCCAAACCTGAAACATTTCAACATTTAGCCATATTTATAGTTTGTAGATTTCTAGCTGTCAGTGTTGTTTCTTTGGTGTATAAAAGCAGCAGACATATTTTAAAGTTTGTTTTCAGTGGTATGAATGATTGCCTTTGCTGATAAGTGACCCCAACAAAAATAATTTTGCGGACGAGACTAAAGCTTTTATTTTGAAATTAACAAGCTCAGGCGGTGCAACTTTAGGGCATCAGGCATAGAGATGGGCGGCTCTGAAAACTGATAGAAACAATGCACTAGATAACAGACCTTATCCGGGACCAGCACCGGTTTGACCTAGAGGTCAGAGCTTATGTGTATACTCTATAGTCTTCAAGCTGGCAGCAAGGGTTCGATTCTGCCTGTGGCCCTTTACACCATCACTCTCCACTCTCTTCTAGTGTCACGCTCTATGCTCTGTCCTATTCTCTCTGAATGAACTATGAAAAGTTTGAAAATAACTTGGTATAACTAAGGATATCAGCAATTGGTGGAGGAAACTGCTATTGTAGGACACAACAATGTCAAATGAATCTGAACAACTCCTACTTCATATCAAGACAAGCCAAAGATAACTTCACATGCTTATCATCTTTGCATATTAGTCTTGGCGAATAACATGAGTGGCTGCCTCATTTATAGGATATCAGGATATAGGATATCAGCAATTGGTGGAGGAAACTGCTATTGTAGGACACAACAGTGTCAGAAAACTAAGGAAAAAAACAGGTGTAGCAGAGATGACCACTTTCTCATCCCAACCGCCAAAGGAATTTAAGGCTTACATCTGGTCACCGGAGATGAGATGGTGTAAACCTTTAACACCAAATCACAATCTTTTTACAATCTCCTGTCTCTATACAAGACAAACATAGAAGCCTTCTCAAAGGGACAAACTTTCTATCCTTTCCACTTCAAAGAGACAAAGACAGGATACTTTATGACCAGCAGGAAAGAACTGCAGGACCACTCGATCAGAAAAAGCTCTGTCATCACACCTAAACTGGGAAGCATTGTGTTTATCAGCTCAGCCATAAATCCTAACATTGGTGGATCATACCTATGTTCTCTGTGAGTACAATCCAAGGAGAATAACTACAACTAGTCTAAGTACAGATTGGATGGACACTGCACAACGATCATCCGTCAGTACTCAACATGTGCAGTAAAACAGTCTTTGTCCCATTTGTCTATCATAATCATAAGCCAAGATCTCACACTGACAGATGAAATCCTTCAGTCTAAAAGTTCCTTTAGGTCAACAGCTTTCCAAACAGTTTCATGAACTTTTGAGAGCTGAAGTTATTATGTTTGAATTATTACCTTATTCTAGAAGAAAAAGAGTAGAAATGTTTAGTTTATATCTGATTCATTTGTTTAGCTTTGTTACCCATTAGGTAGTTATACTGTTAGTTAATAATCTGAACGTTGGTTTGTAGAATCCATTATTAATTGTCACGCTTCTCAAACACGTGTAAATGAACTTTTTATTTACATGTGTTTACCCTTGTGTTATTCAATGTTTATATGTGTTACTATCTGTTTCATTTCAGAGTAATTCAACATAATCAAGCCTCTGAACGCCACCCAGCAGGCCCAAAGTCATCCTCTGTGCCAGAGTTGTGCAGTGAGACCAAAGGAGCGTCCAAAGGACAGATAAGGCGCTGGTTTTTGCATCTAGGCCTGTGTGCTGTGACTCCTGGCCTGTCTTTTTCAGGGCCAAACCTCTCAAACCACCGGCAGCCCGTACCTTCGGAACGTCCTCCATCCTCTCCAAGGGCCAGCATCACATAAGTATGCAAACCTCCAGAGCTCCAAACAGGGCTGATGCTGTCTCATGCATTCATAACTCAAATATTCACTTATTCGAGTAATCCAAGGTTTATCCAAATCCACATCCAAATTTGTCTCTACACCAAAGTTAATCTAGGTTAATATGTTAGAGCATATTCACTCATTATCATTAACTTTAGTAATCATAGCCTGACTCAGAATCCTTATTCATCGATTATTATTTATCCTCATTATCTTATCATCATTTATTGCATGTATGTTGTACTATCATTTATGTTGTAATAAACGCATCATTATTTTCCTAAATTCTTGTCTGTTAGTGTTCTTTCAGAAGTGGAGTCCCTGAAATGAGAATTTCAGCTTAAGATATGAGATTGATCTAAAATTGATTTAAGGTTAACTTAGTGTTTGATTTCTTAAATGAAGTGTTTTTCTTTATTTTCCCACCATTTAGGTGGGTGGTGCCCCTTTAAACGAGTGCATGAATGTCATAATTTAAGATCATAACCTAAGGACATTTATTATAAATGTAAATCCCTACATAGGCTTATTAATGGAGCAAAGACTGTGAGCTAGTTTAGGCAGCAGATTTGAGCTGCACTGGTTTCATATTGACATGCACCTTTCCCACAACCATGTGACAAACACAATCTCAATTTGAGCTGCATTACAGCTGCAAGATTTCGAGTCTCTGTTTGCCATAGCCTCTGCTGCCACATTTTTAGCCCCACCAGCACCCTAGCGTCCATCTGCGAGCTCCCACTGGGGGTCAAAGATATTGTCTAGTCACCCCTTAATTTCTGCATGCAGGAGTAAAACTGAAATGATGAGGTTGGAGCTCAGATGCCAAATACAAATCATGATCTGCCGTTGCAATAGATGAAGGCAGAAATGCAAGTTTTCTAACTGCAATAATAATCTCTCATACCAATTTTTGGCTGACCTTCTTATCAGCAGTTAAGCTTGCTCATTAACCACTTAAAATGAAATCACTGCTACAAATCACAACCAAGACATTTGGTGCTGGTAGCCAGGTTTTGTAACTTTATGTGAAGCCAGGCATGTTTTCTGTTGTTTCCGTTCCCTTTGATCAGTTAAACATTGAGGTTACATCACATGGCTTTATTTTTCTACGGTATTATCCTCAGAGTAGCATCCTGTCATCTGACTCCAAAAAAGACGGCAAAGAATAAGTCCTTGCTCTCGCTCTTCGAGATAAACAACAGTTAAAGGTCCAAAAAAATAAACTATGACTCGTCACATGGTGCAAAGCAGTCATTAAAAGCTGTTCCAAATTCAAAAGAGTAAACCTCTTTTTTTAAACACACTTAAAAACAGTGCCCAGCACTGTGTGTCTGCCACAGTACAGTATGTAACTTCTTTTATGTAAGTGGACATAAGGGGACCTCATGTCTGCCACGTCAGAGTCACAAAAGGACTCTCATATTGAGATGTTTAATGAACAGAAATGAATGAAATGAAAAGAAAATAAACATGTTACCTCAACACTCCAAATGAAGCTACCCTGTAAGTCAGCCAACATCTCCTTTTGAAGCACACATGCTGCAGCTTTACTTGATTTTACGCTGTTATGTTTACTCAGCTATATGACCAATACAACTGTGGTCACCTTCAATGAAAAGTGACAAAGCCCAGTTTGTAACCACATAGTTTTATCCTCCAGACCCCAGTATGCTGGAGTAACTGGATTAAAACATCATCTTAGTGTCCCCTGTGCAGCTTTGTACTAAAATAACTAATTGATCTGCTTTAGAGAGTTTTGATCTAGATTAGGAAAGAGGAGGATGAGTCATCAAATGGTTGGAAAGCGTATATTCACCACAAGGACATTGTGCACCACAGGGTTGAGAGGCTGAAAGATGTCAGCATAAGGGGCTGTGCTGTGAGTGCACCTTCTTCCATACATGCCATTTTGTTTGTGCCACAGTAAGATCTCCCACAGTCATCAGAACTGATGAGGTGAGAGCATGCCCTCCATACAGGCTGAGTATTGTCAAGGACAGTATCAGGTGCTGCAGGAATTTGCAGTGTTGTTAAATTACACAGGAAAATGAACTAACTCAAAGTTTGGTCCACACAGATTGGGATAAATAAGATCACAATACTTAACTTTTTTTTTTAAGTTGAACTCAGTTTTGGTCTTAAAGATTAGCTTTTTTTTAGTTGCACCTTAAAATTGTAAACACAAAAGTAAAAATAATTTGTTGGCTAAATATTTGTCTAAAAATTCTGACATTGAAACCCAGACACAAAAATAAAACATTTCATCACTGATGATGTCAATGAGATGGTTTTCAATTCTTGTAAAATTAAAGATACACTTAACACAAAAACAGAAAAAGTTTATTACTCTTCATACGTAAAAGTGACACCTTTCTTAATCATAAACATTTTCAACAAGTGGAAACTGTTCTGATTTGTTCATTAAACTCCCTCAGAGATATTTAGTGAAGCTGTCTGTATTGATACCAGCATAACAACTGAAGCAGGCTGAGCACAAACTGAGGGGTTTGGCTGGAAAATAGTTTGCTGAAATCATGGCAAACACAAGGCCAGTGCCACCAAAACTGTGCTAAGATTTTAGGGACCGATTAATGCGAACTTAGAAGAAAATGATATATGACTTTAAAGTCTGAGAACAGATTTGATTGAAGTAGTTTATATTTCAATTGAAGCTCCTGTGAGGAATTTTCTGTTTGTGTTGATGTTGGCGCCCCCTGTGGAGAAAATGATACCCCACATCTTTGCTGATCTTGATCTGTCACTGTTTAAAAGCTTAAAAAAGGTCATAGTTTGCCTATGTAGGTCATTAAGAGGCATCATTGTTATTTTCGGTCAGTTTTATCACCACTCAACAACTCCTCACAGGAGCTTTGAATTTGTTTTAAAGAGTCTGTAGTTTAATGTCTGTTAGTCTGGTATCCAGTTCAAAGCACAAGTTCAAGTGTAAAGCTAATAAGACAGTTCGCTCACACAGCGACACAAACTGATCAATTCCAATGAAGAGCTAAAAGCATTTCTTAATTATCTTTCAGCAGCTTTAAAATCTGCAATAGATGGTAAGTGTTTTCAAATGTGACCTTCAGGATATTTCATGTGGACAGTGTCTTTGTTTTCCTTCAGCTTGTCGATTTTTCCTCTGATTTTTTAACTGAATGAAAGTCTTGTGTCCCTTTGACAATCCAAGCAAACACAGGCAGAGCAACTGTCCCTGTGGCTGTTTATGTTTTTCCTTGATTCATCATGGGGGAGGTTTTGCTGGGTGTGCATGTTCTTTTTCTTGCTCGTACAACTGCAGGTATCTTGTTTTGGAGCAGCATTAGCAGAACAAATGAGAGCAAAGCGGTCGTTTATGGATGTTACAGCATAACTCATTCCTTTTTAGCACATAGACTTTTCCAGTTGCAGTGGCGCCCAACAGTTTCGAACCTGCTTATCACGTTGGGGGCATGGCACACTTTGCCTGCTCAAAACTTAAATGAATGAGTTGCTTTTCTAATTAGAGATATTTTAAATCATCTGATGGCATATTTTCAGCTCTCTTAACAGCCTGTTCCTTTTCTCCCATACAGTCCAGTTTCTAAATAGCATCATTGCGGTCCCTCTTGCCAAAAAAATCCACTCCCCCTTTGCAGACAAGAGAGTAACGGCACCAAACCATTTCATGGTGTCACGTTTCGAGTCTGCAAAGGGCTGAAACAATTCTTTCTTTCATTTTAGTGAAACATGAGATGCCAGATAATCTCATAAATATGTGTTGTATTTCTTTTTCTGAACTCGTGCTGCTTGGGAGAAAGAGGCAGGCCTTTGTTTGCTGCTTCCTGGCTCACAGGAAGTGATTGCAGTGGGACAGTGAGGGACACTCATCTCTTGGAAAAGGGGGGAAAGCTTGAAGACGTATCCCTTTTTGATCAAGGCTTGCTGACGGATCACCCGGAGAAAGGCAAATGGGGATCATACCAGGGCCCGATGACAAGAGGCCAATTTTGATGTCCTTTTCTCTCATTGCGGTGCTTCTCTTTCAACCCAAATCTGCTTGAGCAGCCTGGGAAAATGGCCTTTTACCCACCATCCCCTCGCCACAGAGCTGACAGGACAACCCAGAGTGAAATGGAATTTAGATGAATGTTGAGACTAAATAAACTCCTCGCTTGTAATTCTGGTTGCGATGAATAGGCTCCTGATTGCTTTGTGGATATATTTTTCATCTTGTTATGCAGGATAAAACATCCATCAGGAGCCTTTTAGCTGCGGTCATTCTTTTGTTTTTGTTTTCCGCTGGGTTTGATTAATTCACTATTCATTCACAAATGGGCCAAGTCTGCCTTATAAAAAGCACTCTAAAAAAAGAGTAGTTAAGTCCCAAAGTTACATGAAAAGTGGACAAACAGACGAATGCATGGAAAGAAATGCTGTCCGTGAGCAAAAACCAGGACAGCGCTTTGTTTCATCTTGGATTGTTTAATTGAAAAATGTTGACCCATGTGAGAAACATTATATCCGAGCAACGTCAGGCTTCATATTCAGTGTAACCATAACCTCAAAGGCCACATGTTCTTTCTGTGTTTATAATGCATTAGTGGAACAAACTCTACACTGTACTCTCCTTACAAATCCCACCTGGCCATGTATTAGTTGCAGATGTGGCTCTCTAAATCATAATGAACTAATAATGTTTTTGTTAGATTGTTTTCCTTTCATCCCTTGCACACATACACAGAGCTAATCTTGACTGAAGGAGAGATATTGCACCCCACATGAAACATACACTTTGGAATGTGTTGTTGAAAGATAGCAGGCTTTTGAATTGTCTTAATGTGACTCACTCATTTTGAATTGAAAGGATCTGTATCATTAAATAACAGCTTTTTTCTTTAGGGAGTCACCTTTCTGTATCCGCCCAGATCCAATCAAAAAATCCCGAGGATGAGCTCTTCAGCGTGCACAAGGGAACTTGCAAAAGTTCACCACCTTGCTTTATTAAAAGTCTTTGACAGTGTTTGCAGCAAATTAAACCACATGTCACAGAACGGCAAATTAATGACTGCATACTTTGATCGTGCCATGATATAAAGGAGAGCTCAAGGACTAGACATGTGAGATAAAGAAGAACAAAAGACGCAGATCTAAGGGCATCAATTAACAGCCAGATTCAGCTTACACCACACTGTCACAAAATATGGGAGCA